TTATATATTAAAATATAGTATTTATTTATATATATATAATTTATTTTAAATTTAAGTTATATATAATAAACATTTAACATCTGCATTGCACATGTTAAAATACTAATTTTACTTATAAATAAATATTATAAATAAAAATTCGAATAAATAAGAAATAAAAAAATCTTTAAAATATTTTTCATCTAATAAAAGCATCTAAAAGCATTTTTTTCAATTAAATTTTAATATTTTAAAATAAATTATTAATAATTAAAAAATAATCTTACCTTACAATATAATATATTTAAATAAATTTGAAATATATTGGTATTTAAATAATATTTATTTGTATTATAATTATTAACGAGGTTGAGACCATTGTGTCTTTATAAATTTTATTTAAATAAAAAATAAAAAGAGAATAGATAGAAAAAAACAATAATAATGTTTCTTCAAAAGTGATTATGTTTTCTTATTAAAAAAAGAAAAATTTAACAAAAAATCATCTCGCAATTACTAAAAAAGAAAATGTTAATAAAAAATATAGTTATAAATTTAGGCATAATTTATAAAGAATAATGAGACAACTCCATATATTGTTTAAGAATAAAATAATTTAAAAAATATTGGACTCTAAAATATAATATTTCTTTTATTAATACGATAGATGATGTCATAGATTATAAATTTTAATCGTATAATATACATTCATTTCGTACGATACACATTATAAAATACTATTTACATACATAACAAATAAACTCAAAAGAATGATATATAAAACATTAATATTATTAATATTTTTTATGGTATTGATACAACTAAAGTTGAACTACAAAGAAAGAAAGAATGACGATGAATAAATAATTTTTCACATGCAAGCATTAATTACTTTCTTGAGATAAACGTAATAACAAAATAAAAAAGGGTAATACATAAAGTCCAAAAGAAGAAAGGACGCCACCCATAAAGAAAGAAACGAGGCAGCAGCACGTGTACGCTGGTTTTCATTTTAAGATTGACACCAACGACACATTGTTGAGTCGAGTGATTTCGGTTACTTATTTTCCTTCTTCTGTCTTTACCACCACCCCACTTCTCACGCTTCTCTCTTTTGCTTCATAACCAGGTTCTCTCTCCAACTCTTCTAGTTCTCTATTAATCCTCTTAAGTGTAATGTGTATATGACCTTTGTTTGATTACTATGGACATGCAGTTAGCAAATTGGCATGCTCCACTCTGAATTCTCAAAGCAATAGAGTTTCAGGGTTGTTCTTATTTTTGTATTTAAGGGTGATGGATGGATTAGATTTGTGAGTTGATACATATATGGAATGTAATAATAGCATTAGAAATGGTGTTGTGCAGTGGATGATATTCGAGATTTTGAAATTACAGAAATTCGTGTATCCTGAAGTAGCAGTCTAGCACTCACTGGAATCTAAACTACTAGTTAGAGATCTCATATTGAATACCTCTGATATGGTCAAAATATACTCTAAGTGAGAAACAATCTTTATCTTACAATCCAGTTTATAAGGTTGAATTAAGTCAAATCCATTTTTTTAAGTCTACTTGAGAAGAAAAATAGAGGTTTTGGATGAAATGGAATGAAGCACATTTAATTAGGTTCTACTCCATTTCATCCAATTTTAAACTATTCAAAGAATGACAACTACTAACTAATGTTGTTTCATTCCATCCCTTTCCACTAATCCAAACATAGCCCAAAAGTTTTTTTTTTTTTTTTTTTTTAATCCAACCAATACTCCAAATAGCTGATAATGAAAACATTGCTGCCAGATCCATATCTGTTGATTTACCCAAAGGGCCAAAACTTAGGGTGGCCTAATGCACAAGACTCAAGAGGCTCTCACCTGAAGTAGATGTGCACAGCTTTATCTCTACAAGAATGGAGATTATTTCCTAAATTTGAATCCATGACTTTCAAGTTACAAAGCAACAATTTGTTGTCCTCAGCCTTGCTTTTCCCAAAACTTATAAACGGAACAATTTTGTTTGATGTTTGCAGGACAAGCTCAATGCCTGCGAAAAATGTTAAAGTTTACTTCAAAGGTTTTGATATATTGGGTACTGCAAAAACGGTTTGAAATCACTTTTAAATTTACTAATACACGTAACACAAACACAAGGAGAAGCTTCTTTAAATAGTCTGCAAAGTATAGATCTGCAATAGGCTGTAGCATTAATCCAGTGGGTGCTACAGGTTCAATGAAGAAGGCATCTGTTGCCTTCCAATGATGAATGACAATTGACAAAAGAAGAAATTTTACCCATTGTTGAAGAAAATTGATCTGATAAATGAAGCATGAAAACACCCCAGATTAAAACTTATCCATCATTAAGATTTGAGGAGAACTAGAACCTGTGAAGTGTAAAATATACCTTTGAAGCTTGTTGTTTACAGGAAATACAATATAGACACCAGAAACCTGAGGAAGAAATATAATTGACCCCACGGTTCTTCACAAACTTTATGCAAGAATCATCACCTGGCTTTAATCCAAACAAGTAAAAGAAGTATATTCGAGGGTTGGATTTTTATAAGATTGAAGAATATGCATTTACTTCATGCTTAACTCACCTATTTTGTAGGATACTATGCTTGTCCTTGTTACCATATGTTGGAGCTGAAGTAGTGGCCTTTCTATATGATTGTTTGTTTGTTGGTATCTGAATATCTAAATTGTCAATAGTTTGCACATTATATATGCTAATTAGTAATTACAAAGGACCATTATATTGATTCTGTTCCAGATTATCTATTAATGGTATATTATTCTTGCAGGTTCAAACATTAACGGATCCAGTTTGTTTGATTTCTAGCCTACGGTGGTGTTATTGAGTGTAAAAGTCTATGTGCTGGTTTTGAACCAACTTTAAGCGATGATTCTTTCTGCCCTTCTTACTTCTGTCGGAATTAATCTTGGCCTCTGTTTTTTATTTTTCACCCTATATTCTATATTGAGAAAGCAGCCTGGTAATATAACTGTATATGCACCACGCTTAGTTGCTGAAGGAAAAGTTAAAGAGGGTGGTTATTTTAACTTGGAAAGGTTGTTGCCTACTGCTGGTTGGGTGAGGCAGGCATGGGAGCCTTCTGAGGATGAATTTTTATCAAATTCAGGCTTAGATGCTTTTGTCTTCATGCGAATATTTATCTTTAGGTGATGTAAAATGTTTGATTGATTCTTAGTTTGAAGATGTATCATGGCATATCAAAGTGAAATCTATTAGCTAACTTAGGCTTTTGTGGTTTTAATCATTCTGAAGGACTTTCCTGCATTACATTTACCTGTTTCAAGGATCAATGTTAGGCTTAAGTTTATATATTTTAAGGTATATGTAAATGTGCATTGATGATTTCTTCATCAGAAGAGGATAAATGTATATGTAAATGTGCATAGATGATTTTTTCATCAGAAGTGGATTTTTTTATTTTATATTGTTATTGGTTTTAGGCTGTTGTATATTCAATTCAATAATCTTTTTTCATTCTTATTTTACCTGATTGATACCAAGTTTTTCTGCTTGTTTAATCGAATGTCCAACTTCAAGTGAATTTTAACGTTTTAAAAATGTACAACATATTCATACGTAGCCAACTAAAGTGAGTGAGATGATTTTTTTATCTTATTGCCGACTCAATCATTTGTTCATTACAATTTTCTAATCACATTTCTGTAAAATATGTACAAAATTTTCTATTTTCTGTGACCTTGTTCTGTTTATTTGAAGGACATTTTATTTGTTTCAGCTGATCCTTTTTCTTCTTTTGGTATTGTACAGTTTAAAAGTATTTGCCGTTGGTGGAATTATTGGCATGTCTGTTCTTCTTCCAATTAATTATATGGGGAGTCAGCTTAGTGATGATTCGGATTTTCAACACAAGTCTTTGGACTCATTCAGTATCTCTAATGTTAACAATGGTTCAAACAGGTGAATGTTATGAATCAAGATAAATTTCATTTTCTCCAGTTGTTGAACTGGTTTCATGTGTGGTTTTTATATGAATAGTCAGGATTTACCTTACGGTGAATGAAACTGATGAAATCAAGACATATGACATTTTTACATTATAAGTCAATTAAATTCATGTATGCTCTCATTTCTATTGAAGTTTGAGAGAGAGAGAGAGATAAAACGAACAGAGAAATGTTTTCTGTGTATTATTCAACTTGTTGAATGAATCTGGAGTACATTGAGGTATTTATAGGACTAACAGCTTCTAACAGATGCAGTTAATCTAGCTTCTAACAGAAGCTATACAGTCCTAACTAATTGAGGAAGTTAGTTATAGATAGTAATAGAAAGAATAATCCTATGCTACTGTTGTACAAGAAAATAAACGAGTTGCAACTACAAGAAAATCAAGCAGAAACATAAAAGGAGAATAAGGAGTAAAGGTATATTCCAATACCTCCTGCAAGGTCAAGTAGACACAATACGTGAATCAGCCAGCTTGAGCTTGGAACACAAAGCACAAAACCAAGAAGGAGGCAGGGCTTTGGTGAGCATATCAGCACACTGATCAATGGAGGGAACATGAACCACATGAAGCTTCTTGGCAACAACTTTTTCATGAACAAAGAACAAATCTAATTCCATTGTTTTGTTCTAGCATGAAGGGCTGGATTATGCACCAGGTCAACAATACTCATATTATCAGAGTATGACAAGAGTTGAGTAGGGAACATGAAGTTTAGATAATAATGATTGAATCCTAGTTACTTCAGCAGCTACCAATGCCAAGATTCTATACTCAACCTATGTGTTGGAACGATCTACTACTGTCTATTTCTTGGACCACCAAGAGACCAGATTTGGTCCAAGAAAGATAGAGGCTCTTGATGTGGACTACTGGAAAATTTAAATTTCACATCGACTAGAGATAAGGTAACCAAAGAGTTTATAAGTGGGAGGTAACCCTCACCTTACAAAGTTGGTTTTGTAGGGTTGAGCTAGGATCTTAACCCGTATTCTAAGATGGTATCAGAGTTATTTAGATTCACTCTAAAAGAGTCACTTACCATTGATACACGTATCAAGTCCAATAGTGTTGGGCATGGGGGGATGTATTGGAAAAAATCAAAGTCCCACCTATCTTAGATCATTAAAAAGGACCACCCACCATTTATCTACGTACCAAGTCCAATAGTGCTAAATGTGAGGAGATGTATTGGAAAAAACTCAAGTCTCGCATCTCTTAAGATACGGAAAACAAAGAGTTTAAAAGTGGGGGACAACTCTCACTTTACAAAGTTGGTTTTGTAGGGTTTATCTTACAAAGCTAATTTTGTAGGGTTGAGTTAGGCTCTTAACTCACATTCTAAGATTGACCGAATGGCCATGGAGAATTTGGGAGTGCTGGTTGAAAATGCAGTTCCCAAGAAATCGTGTCTTGTAAATAGCAAAGAATCCTTTTTACAACAATCCAGTGTTGCTCGAGGGGATTTGACATAAACTGATAGACCTTGTTACCTGAGAAGCTTAATTTTGCTCTCGTTACATGCTTCTTCTGACTTGCCTGGCACTGGCAGGATCTTGGTGTTCACAAAACAAAGTGAGAAATTGGTTTTGGAATTTTTCTCTATAAAGTTATTGTAACTACTATATAAAGTCATTATGTAATATGTATCGCCTACGAACTTCAGGAAGAGATTGTTCATTGTGTAAAACCTCATCTCTGAAGTTTGTACAATTCAAGTTTTTTACAAGAAATCTTAACATTTTGAACAAATTACAATTTATTTGACTTTTCTGTACTGTTTTTTTTTTTTTTTTTTTCTAATTTGTTTTTTGACCTCTATAGCTAATAACTGGCTTTGGAACTGAAAAATTGTAGTGTTAGAGTTTATATAATCTTACAGGCATCATTTTTCTATGTTCATTTTCAGTTCTCAAAGTAAGCTGATATATGGTAACATTCTGCATATTAGCTGATCCACCTAGGGGTAGTGATTTCTATTTGGTTCTCTAAAATTATTTGATTTAATGGATTTGGATTGTTGGATATTCTATCGAGTTGACATCTTGTTATGATGTGAATTCAACTGGGTAAAAATTGAAGACTGATAAGTCCAAAGTCATATAATAAAAAAAAAGGATTAATGGGTTAAAATTTAAGTAATTTGGAACTGAATAATTAAATAAGTCCATTATCTTATTTTTTAATATAATTTTCGTTTTATTAATTTTATTAAATAAGTCAGATGACTTTCCAAATTACCTAGGCTAGCATTTAGTGTTTTACGCTTCTTAGTGGAATTTATGAGTTAGTAGGCTAGTGAGGAGTCAATTCTAATGAATATTAAGTGTTAGTGGGAAATTAGTGGGAATTTATGTCATCTTGCCCATCTAAGCTTATAAATAGGAATCTTATATAAAATTTTTGGACAGAGAATGAATTATTCAGAATTTGGATATTTTTTAATTGAGAGGATTTTCTCTCTATAAGTTCTTAGGAACCACTTTTGATTCTTATGTTTGAATTTCATAATTCAAAGTGGCGAATCTTCCTTAACTTATCGATCTTTAGGGATTGTGGCGTTGTTCTTCCATTTCTTACCTCAATCCATATTTTTTTTCCCTTTTAATTTCTTAATTATGAGCATTCCAGCCTAGATAGATCTGTAAAACAAATTGATCCCTCTGGGTTCATATCATTGTTCACTATTTGTGGTTTTTATCTTTAATAGAAAACGTCATTGGCTAACACTTAAATCTTCATCAGATCTCTCCATTGTCTCCCCTAAAGGGAATGGGAAGTTTCAACTAGATTACGAAGCTTGAATTTTGATTGTCATGCTTTTACTTTGTAAACCCTGGTTTTTAAATAAGTCATTTCTTCTCCAGAATATGCAAGTTTATTTAGAAACTTAAGACAAAATTTTATGTGTTCATTTACTGTGGTGAATACACGACATGTTTAAATGAAAGATGTGTTTCATGACTGTTCTTGAAATGTGTTGCTTTCTACTTAGTTTTTATCTAAAATTAAAACTCGGACATTCTGATCATACCTTTGGCCTTTATCCAGGTTATGGATCCATTTTTCTGCTGCATATATTTTCACTGGAATTGTTTGCTATCTTCTTTATAATGTAAGTTTTATTGTTTATGTTAGCTTTCAAAATGCTGTCAATTTTTTTCCTTTTATTTTATAAAGTTAGAGATAGAATTTAATGTTTAATGTTAATTCCTTATGCAGGAGTATTGGTACCTTTCATCAAAAAGAATTGCTTATTTCTATTCATCCAAGCCTCAGCCTCATCAGTTTACCTTATTGGTTCGTGGTATTCCTGTTCCACCTGGAAGTACATGTCATGAAACTGTTGAGCGTTTTTTCTTAGAGTATCACCCATCTACGTATCTCTCTCATTCAGTGGTCCGCCGAAGCAACAAACTTCAAAGTCTTGTTGTAAGTGTTTTTCTGGAGCTCCAACTGATTCAATCTTTCTCCCTTAACAGTTGCTTAACTTTCATTGTAAATTACTCCCATGTAATACCTCATTTTGTTATTAAGAAAAGAACACATTTTCCAAGTATTTGCATGTCAAGTGTGAAATATTGCTACTTTTACCCTGATAAAGAAGAATTCATTAAAAAAGAAGAGCTACAGTGAAGGATGATCAGGGAAAAGAACATTGACTTGTGAGAACAAACCAATCCTGGACAAAGAAACTCCATCAGAGAGAGAACCCATGAGCTGAATCCCAGCATCCAAGGAAACTAGCCCATTCTATAAACATCAGTCTTTTGCTCCAACATACCTCCAAGGAGAGCAAAATTCCAAAGCACCATGTTAGACTAAGTGTGTGTTTGGTTTCCAATTAGAAACCCACAAAATCACATCCAATGGAAAAAAACAGAAAAAGTTATGTGTACCTTTTCTGTTCAACGAAACTCAATGATAAAACAAACATACCCTAAATAGTAGCATGACATTTCATAAATTACTGCATATCTTGTTATCATGTTATAGTAAATACTATGTTGTGAACTGATGGTTCAACCAGTGCATATTTTCTTATACTTTCAACTTTACTTTTTCTTTTTTTCCTACAACCCTACATATTGTATATTGTGTTGCATAAGTGGCAAATCTATGTCTTAATGCTTTGTGTAACTACCTTTGATGTGGTGTATTTTCATGCTGAATATTGAAAATTAAGTCTTGTAGATTAGCAATTCTTGGTTCATTAGATAAAAGTTGAGGTTGAAAAGTTCCTTGAAAAGGTGAAGTAACCTTTTTGTTAATATTCTGGAGATTGGACAATGTGTGCATTATTCTTAAAATATTTCAATTTCTGTTGAAGGTGAGGTTTTGGATTTATTTGTGTTACTTTTGACGACTTTCCCTGAACTGTGTTCCTTTTTTTTTTGTGTTGTTTTACCCTGTTGGCTGTTTTGTTTCCAGTAAATAGCCTCTGTTTTTGGAGGTAGGGGAATGGTGGTGCATTTGAGTTTGACTTGGGCATTATGTATCTTCATGTGTTGAAGTTAAACTTCAAAGAAATTTATTCTTGTAAATAATGTTTGTTCTTTCTTCTAGTACTACCCACATTTTGACTATTAAATTTTGTTCTTTGAAGAATGACGCAGAAAAACTGTACAAGAGGCTTACCCATCTGAAACAAAAAAATGATGCTCCTAAAAGGCACAGGCGTGATGGGTGTTTGGGACTTTTTGGCCGAAAAGTTGATATAGATCATTATGAAAGGAGATTGGGTGATATAGAAGATAATGTGAGAACAGAACAGTCCTCACTAGAAGCAAAGGTAATCTTGTTTAGGCATTAATAACCTCACTACTGGAATTATGAGAAAATAATTATGTTTCCTCTCAAGTCTAAAACTGTTTTATGTCTGGTTTGGATTGCATGGTGTCTAATAACGAACTGAAATGCTTGGATTATCAGTTGTGTTAAACCAAATTGGTTCTCACTGCAGATTTAACCTATATTGTGCTATTAAGATTTGGTGTTATTCATTATTGGCAATCTGGTTAAATATTTGTAGAACTATTTGGCAATCTGGTGTTGTTCATTATTGACAAAACATGGTAGCAAGAAGCAAAATATTGGTAGAACTACATCTTCAATTCCAGCTCCTTTTCAAATGAGATGAGATTCGAGAAAGAAAATATGCATGGGAAAGAAACTCAAATGAAATTGTTTCCATAATTGTCAACCATTAGCTATGTTCTAAACTGAAAAATATTTGTATTTGTTAGATAAAAGAACCTAATATACCCATTTATTACTTAACACCATAAACAACAAATATATTATTGAATTAACTAATGTAATAATGATTTTGTTTAGAACTACACTAGTTTTCTCCTTTAAACAATACATTGATTACTAGATTTGGATCTTGAGAAGTTGTGTTGTGCTCATGGATATAGTTTCCAACAATAGATATATTTGTTAATAGTTAGGTTGTTATGGGTCTTATGCTGATGTGTAATACACCCACTTATTTTGTAATCACTTTCAACTTAAAGGAAGTTCGAGCTGCCTTTGTCTCATTTAAGACACGATTTGGTGCTGCAATAGCTTTACACATCCAAGAAAGTGTCAATCCCACAGAATGGATCACTGAGAAAGCTCCTGAGCCTCATGATGTTTATTGGCCTTTCTTTACCGTTTCATTCATTAAAAGATGGATCAGCAAGCTGGTAGTTTTTGTTGCATGTACTTCTCTTACAGTTCTTTTTTTGATCCCAGTTGCAATAGTACAAGGTCTTACCAATCTCGATCAATTGGAAACATGGTTCCCTTTTTTGAGAGGCATACTAAGACTGTAAGTGAGAATTCTTACCTGAATTTTATCTTTCTCTAAGTACATGGATCAGAGTCATATCATAATATACTAGAGTACAGTTGCATGCAGACTTCCCTTCTCTATTTCTTTCAAATATAGTATCATATGCCATTTGATTTAGCGATGTAAACCCTATGTTTCCCACTTTTGACATTTGGATTTCTCCTCTTTGTTATTTAGAATGTAATGTTAGTGTAATTGCAACTTCACTGAATTCCTTTATAGTTTAGAAGACTCATACTTTCATTACCTGTGACACGTTATTTTATCTCACAGATTGCATTTTATTTTTAATGTGTTGACATATTTTCACCTTTCATCTTTGATAGATTATCTAAGTTGTTTGTTATGAAGAAGGGCTAGCCATATTTTAGTTGCCAATGTTACTTTTATTTCCTCGTGCTGTTTTTTTTTTCTTCTTGAATTGGTTCATGTATTTGTGCTTTAGGCAATCTCCATTTAGCTCTCTGTTTCTTCCTGGTTTTTCAAGAATCAAGATTTAGAAACACATGCTGGCTAACTGTTGGTTTTCTTTGAATAATCATATCTAAATGATTTATAATTTTGGTCAAATATTAAGCACAACTTATCAACTATTTTGGTTCAGAAAGAATTGCTATTTTTGGCGATGTTATGCAACTTATAAAGCTAGAGGCATAATGCCTGCTGTGATTTCTGAGGATATTTCAATTATTGCATGGAAAGCTTCACAGAATCAATTCCATGTGTATTGTAGACCAGACAAATGAAGTTGAAGAGAAACTTTTTTTGAATTGAGATCATGTGACAATTGTTGGGTGAGGATTTTAGGGGGTTTTGTGGATATTTTGGTTTGTCTTCTTAACTTAAGGCTGTTTTGTCTGAAAAAGGAATTTAAGTAGTTGTGAAACTATGTTGTTTTTGCTGCTATTGGAAGGTTTGACATCTCCTACCTCAATTCTTGGGGTGTAACTTATATATTTGTTAGACAACTTCACTTAATGTCAATTGGTTTTTAGATGGAATCTAACATGATATTAGAGCCTATATAGTCAGGTCTTGGTAAATCTTGTATTCTGGTTGGCTTGCCTTTTCTAGCAGGTATCTATGGAGGGGGGTGTTGGAAGGTCCCACTTCGCCTGTCTTAATACTGGGAGTGCAACTAATATATCTTTTGGGAAGCTTCATTTAATGCCACTTGTTTTTGAGATGGAATGTAACAGCTGCTCTGTGGTGTATTTACCTTGAGCACAACATGACAATTTAGTCAGAGAGTTACTGCACATCTTCTTTGGGATAGATTTGTTTGTCTATCCTTTTTGTGGGTTTTTCCTTTTCTAGTGTTGTTTCTTCGTCTGAAATGAAGCTCTCTTGTGCTGTTGCCTTTTTTAGTTTATACCTTTTCCTAGCTTCTCTATGCTTTTGGAGAATTTGTGCTTTTTCTTTCATCTTTAGATGAAGACTTCTTTTCTTGAAATCTTATTATAGAATTGTAGTAGAGGTTGTATATATAATAAAAGTAATAATAATAATAATAATAATAATAATGTTGTAATTAGAGAAAAATCTTTCTAATTAGAGAAAATATTTGTAGAATCTTGTATTTATTTTTATTTTTCCTTATTTCCTTATTTTGAAAGATTAGATTGTTACAAATAGGTGGAATGAGAATGTAATAGGTATGAATGAAAATAATAAAATCAATTCTCTTTTTCAAGTTGGTATCAGAGCTCCCGATCTTGGGAGCTCCCTTTCTGCTGCAACAGCAGCCACCGCCGCCGCTGTCCGACCACCGCGGTTGCTATTGTAGCCGTTGGGGTCGTTGATAGGATAGAAAGGTGCGTTTGACTCCGGCGAATACAACATCAGAAGTCGTTCTGGGAAAGATGCCGCCACATGCCACCACCATCGCCGGCGTGTGTAGCCCACACACCTACCTTTGGCGAGACCCACTTGCCGCCGTCGTCACAGAATGAGTCGCCGGAGCCTCTTGAGTTCGTTTCACAGGTCGATGATGTCCCATTTGGCCTAGATTTGAGTAGATCTGAGGTTTGAGTTTTGCTCCTTTTTCCGGTGTAGCCCACTAGTTGTCGTCGTCGCGAATAGGGTCACTGGAGACACCTGATTGCATTCTAAGGGATGTATGAGGTAGAAATTATTCCTTTGGGTCCTAATGATCTTCCAAATGTGGTGGGTCCCTATCGGTTGGATGGTCGGAATTTCTTACAAAGGAGCCAATACATTTGAAGGATTCTTAAGCGACGTTCAAGACTAGACCACATAGATGGTGGAGGGACAAGTAATATTTCAATTTGGGACAATGAAGATTCATTAATTATGACTTGGATGTGACATTCCATGATTCCTGAGATAAGTCAAAATTATATGTTTTATTCTTCTACCAAAGAGATATGGGATGCTTTACAAAATACTTTTTCATTAAAAAAAGGATTTTGCTGCATGTTATGACATTGAAAGTAGGGTATTTAATACAAAACAAGACTCTCTTTCCGTATTAGAATATCACAGAATCCTGAATGGACTTTGGATTGAATTAGATCAGTACTTGACAATAAAGATGTGTAAAACAGATGTTACCGCACATGCTGAAGTCGTGGAAAGAGGAAGAATTTTTAAATTTCTCCATGGCCTGAATCATGAGTACGACCTAATTAGGGTACAAATCTTAGGAAGAGAAAAATTATCATCTCTATCAGAAGTATTCTTTATGGTAAGAGAAGAAGAAACTCGGAGAGCTATCATGCTTGATGGGGGGATCTCCAACGTAGGCTTTGCCATGACAACTAGAAAGGGGGTCCACAAGGGAGCAAATGCTAGAGGAAAGTCGTTTGAAAAAGGTAACCGTGGAGACTATTGTTCATACTATAGAAGATCTGGACATACCAAGGAAACGTGCTTCAAACTCCAAGGAAGAAATAATGTTCTTGAGTGCATGGGAAACAACAAAGAGTCTACTCAAAGATGGGCAAATCATACTACCTCAAAACAGGAAGTCACCAATCAATCCAGTACTTCACCACCATCAGATCTTAATATGAAAGCTTATAAGGAGGAACTTGAGTGCTTGAAAGCAATGGTTGAATCAATAAGTAAGCCCTCTGGATCATGTACTCTGTCCATGAAAGGTAAGATTTCTCTCAATATTGTAGGTCTTGTGTCTCAAGGTATTTGGATGGTTGATTCGGGAGCAACCGATCATATGACACCTTTTCGTGTGATCTTCAACTCATATGTTAAAAGAAATAAAGAATAACTTATTACAGTTGCGAATGGTTAGAGTGTACCTATATGCGGTTCTGGGAATATAATTTTAGAATCATCTATTGTATTAATGGATGTTTTACATATTCCACAACTAGCTAATAGTCTTATCTTTGTGCAAAAACTCACAAAAGATTTAAATTGTTCAATAACATTTTTCTCAATTTATTGTTTTTTTCAAGACCTTGTCATGGCGAAGACGATTTTAACCGCTAAGGAACATAGTGGGTTGTATCTGTTGGAATCTGAAGACCAAAGCAAAACAAAAATCATAAGTCAACAAACTACATTTGAGACATGGGCAAATTCCCAAATATGGCTACATCATAAAAGGCTTGGGCATCCTTCATTCAACCTTATCAAATTCTTGTTTCCTCATTTGTTTACTAGGGAGTTTGTTGAATCTTTTAATTGTGATATTTGTTAATTGTTGAAACACCATCATGTATCTTATCCTATTAGTAATAAAAAGAGTACTTCTCCATTTGATTTAATTCACTTTTATGTTTGGGGACTTGTCGTAGAATCTATTTTTAGAGCCAAATGATTCGTTACTTTTATTGACGATTGTATCTGTGTCACGTGAACATACCTTATGAAAAATAAATTATAAGTTTTTCAAATCTTTGTTAATTTTTTCCGTCTTGTCCAAAATCAATTTGGAAAAAAATATCAAAAGAATCTGGTCTAATAATGATCCTGAATATGTGAATCATGAATTTCTCAATTTTTGTCTCATAATGGTATTGTTCATGAACTAACATGTATAAACACCCTCAACAAAACGTGGTTGTAGAAAGAAAGAATCGTTATATTCTTGAAGTAGCTAGAGCTCTTCTTTTTCAAATGTTTGTTCCCAAAAATTACTAGAGAGAAGCTGTGTTAATTGCCACGTATCTCATTAACAGGTCACCTAGCCGTATATTAATCCTATAGAGTCTCTATTGTCTTTTGTTCCCTCTTCCCCCTAGTATCGAGTCTTTGAATGTACTATTTTTGTTCACTCTCATCATTCTAATTGTAGTAAATTAGATCCCAAAGCTCTTAAATATGTCTTTATTGGATATCCTTATAATAAAAAAGGGTACAAATGTTATCATCCTCATGGTCGTCATGTCTTTATCACCATGGATGTCACCTTTCATGAAACACAATCATTTTATGTCAACCTGCCACTTCAAGGGGAGAAAACACTTGAAGTGGAGGAGCTTTCCTTTTTGTCATTATCATATTTGTCTTTGCAGGATGTTCAAGATCTGAGCAATGAAACTACCATGGCCCATAGTGAGGAAGAAGATAAATGTTTTGGCAAAAATTATGAAAGAAGAAAACAACCCACTTTGACTCTAGAGCAAGAAAAATTGTCTAATTCGGAGGTGAGGATCCTTGAAGATAACAATAAGAAGGTAAGTATTACTGAGGATTTACCCATTGCATTGAGAAAGGAAAGAAGGTCATGTGCTAAATATCCTATTTCTCGATATGTTTGCACTAACAATCTCTCTGATAAGCACTAAAGCTTTATTGTTGCCATAGAAATTCCTACCTCAATCCAGGAGGCCATGAAAATTGAACATTGGACTCAAGCCGTGAAAGAAGAGATGAATGCAATAGATAAAAATTCAACTCGGGAGATTGTAGATAAGCCAAGAGACAAAAAGGCTGTAGGGTATAGATGAATATTCACAGTGAAATATAAGGCAGATGGGACAATAGAAAGATATAAAGCTAGATTGGTGGCAAAGGGCTACACCCAAACTTATGGGAGTGACTATGAGGAGACATTTGCTCTAGTGGCAAAGATGAATACAATTTGAGTTGTTCTCACTTTGGCTGCTAATTTTAGTTGGGAATTACACCAATTGGATGTGAAGAATGCCTTTCTTCATGGAGGTTTGGAAGAGGAAGTGTACATGGAAATTCTCCCAAGTTTTGAAGTGCAAAATGAAAGAAACAAGGTATGCCTCCTAAAGAAAGCATTATATGGTCTTAAGGAGCATGGTTTGGAAGATTTACAAAAGCAATGGTTTCCTTGGGATACAGACAAAGCCAAGGAGATCATACTCTATTCATAAAGCACTCTTCTACAGGTAAACTCACTCTACTGCTTGTCTATGTAGATGATATGATTATTACAAGAGATGATGAAACAAAAAAATTGGCATTAAAAGAAAAATTGGTAACCCAATTTGTAATGAAAAACCTAGAAAAACTCAAGTACTTTCTTGGAATAGAGGTTGCTTACTCCAAGAACAGAATTTTCATCTCCTAAAGGAAATATGTATTTGATCCCCTCAAAGAAATAGGAAAGATGGGATGTAGAACCTCAACAGTTCATATAGAACAAAATCATAGAATTGGAAGTGAAGAAGGTACTCTTGTAAAGAAGGCCCAATATCAAAGATTGGTAGGAAAATTGATTTATCTATCACACATAAGACCAGACATTGCTTATGCAGTTAGTGTAGTGAGTCAATTTATGCATGACTCAAGAGAGAGACACATGCAAGCAGTTGACAAAATTCTCCAGTACTTGATGTCAAGTCCAGGAAAGGGGCTATTGTTCAAAAGGGAAGACACGTTGACTATGAAAATATATACTGATGCTGACTATGCAAGTTCTATCACTGACAGAAAATCTACTTCTAGGTATTGTATGTTTCTTGGAGATAGTCTGGTAACGTGGAGGAGCAAAAAGCAAGATAAAGTATTTCGTTCTAGTGCAAAAGCTGAATTTCGAGCCCTTGCTCAAGGAATGTGTAAAGGACTCTGGATGAAAATCATTTTTGATGACCTTAAAGTTAAGATGAACAACCTTGTGCAACTATACTGTGACAATAAGTCTGCCACAAGCATTGCCCATAATTCAGTACAACATGACAAGACCAAACACATTGAGATTGATAGACACTTCATCAAAGATAATCTAGAAAGAGGTTTTGTGATTACAACTCATGTTCCTACAGAACTCTAGATAGCAGATATTTTTACAAAAGAGTTCCCTTAGGGTAGATTTCAAGATCTTGTAGGCAAGTTGGGAATGGTTGATATCCATTTACCAACTTGGGCAATTAAATTGGTATAATCGAATAAGAAAGGAAAAGAAAGAAAAAGAGGGAAGGATTACATACTTCCTTTGCATTACATGCTTCCTTTGTTTGGTTGAATAAATGAGGATGTTAGAGATAAAAACCATTCATGGGCATGCACTTAACGACTTAAGTTTTTCGTTAAAACGCTTCTAGATATGTGATCGCCTTTATAACATGGTTCATGACTTTGAACCTTGCCATCCCTTTTCTCATTAAGTAAAATATACTTAAACAAATTATTCATACTTCCTTGCAATTGCATAGATGCTTACCCTTCAAATTAGCTTGTTTATCTTTTCTTTAATCTTCATCATATATAGAAATCCTTAATACCCAATATATGTACACAAATCTACATTATATGGTTTTTTGGGAATACACAGTTTTCTTAAACAGCTGACTTGTTGAGTTTGTGTTGTACTGTTGTAAGATGTGAGTATTGTTGAGTTTTATCAATAGCACCAGATCTTACCATGTCATGGATTTTCAACTGAAGTTTCCCAATATTTGTTTTCAGGTCAGTTGTGAGTCAAGTTATAACGGGATACCTTCCCAGTTTGATTCTTCAGTTGTTTCTGTCATTTGTTCCACCTATTATGATTATGCTTTCATCCATGCAAGGATACATTTCATGGAGTCAAATACAAAAAAGTGCATGCACTAAAGTATTATGGTTTACCATTTGGAACATTTTCTTTGCGAATGTACTATCAGGGTCAGCTCTCTATCGAGTGAGAATCTTTCTTGAGCCAAAAGAGATTCCTAGAATACTAGGTGAAGCTGTACCGTCACAGGTGAGAAAGTTATCCAATATTATATATAGGAAGATCTTATCGGTGGTTTTGTAATTTTGTTTCTTAATATTATTATATATTCTGTTTAATACCTAAAAGCCCAACTTTAAAAATGATGGTTCATATAATTTCTCCATGTTGTATAAGATAGCAGTACCTTTGTAAGGTGTAGAAAAAAGGAATAAAGATGGTTGTGTCCATTATATTCTGAATATACAGGTTGCAGCCTTATTATATAGATAGAGGGGCTACTGCTATTACAAGTAAAGAAAATAAAGGATAATCACAAATCTAGGAGCTATTTATGCGAATGACTATATTTATGATTTGTAAGCACTAACAAATTTTTTTCCTTGCTATTTGATACAACAATAATTAAAAAACTTTCCTACTTTCCTTCAATTTGACTTTCCTTCAATATTTCAATGTAAGGTATAACAGATAAGGTATTTTTATCATTATTTGCAAGTTTGATGGTCTAAAGCTGGCATGACGTGTCTTCAACACTTATTAAAATGGGTTTTATTAGGGTGTTACAAAATGGAGGAGATCATTAATACTGAAATTTTAGGGATTAGCTGGAAAAGAGAATATATTTCTCTAATAAGACTGAATAATTGAGATACATAAAAACAACTGTATAACCCTATTTATAGTAATAATCTAAACGTTCAAGTATAGTACATGCCCAATCTAATGAAACTTGACACGAACACAATATAACTCTAATATTTAACACTTCACTTCAAACCATAGCTCACTAATCCCTAAGATTGATATAAACACTTATCAAAAGAATACAACTTAAACATAATGAACTCCACAAATCATGAGATTCAAATAAGACTTGAAACACAATAGTTAAGAATACAGGCATCCCATGGCACTTTTGAGAGACAACACATGGGCATGTAGACCACCAGGGTAATGGACAACCTAGAGAAAAGTGTTGCCATGAAAGAGTCACCGCAATAGAGGGACTAGAATCACTAGACTATTGGCATGATGCACATGGTGCTGCTAAAATTTGATGCTATAGGAAAGGCAAAGTAGATCTCAACATGTTGAGGGATTTCTTTGTAGTGAGCTAACAGAGTGTTCTTTAATTGCTGATATGCTATGAGGAAAACTTCACATGCTTTGATCTGCTTTTTTCTACATGGTCATGTACTTGCATAGTTTATTAACCCAGTATTGATCAGGCAGTGGGATGCACTTCCATGTATACTATATTACTATATTTGTTTTCCAATATACTTTGAAAAATCATTAAAGTTTCGTGAAGTTTTTCTATTTGTAATTATTCTAAAGGAATTCATTGAGAACGAAAGAGAAAAAGGAGTAAGTTGACAAAAGGATACTATATTATATATGAGCTGAAAGGAGCAACTTTGTTCCTCTAGATAAAAAGTTATGAGCTGAAATGCAAGTTCTTTCTTTTTCTTATTTTTTTGGGGCAAAGAATAAATCTACTGAGAATTGAGGCAAAGATAATAAGTTACATAGAGAAAGGAAGATAAGGATCCTCCTAAACAAAAGAACCAAGAAAAAAGAGAAAATAAATGTAACAAAGCTTCCAAATAACTCCACATATCTATCAATGAAACCTCAATAAAAAGACTATATACTTTACCCCAAATAGAAACCAAACGCCTTATCTTATCCCAAATCAAGTGTTGTACCAAAGAAACCTTAAAAACATGAGAGTTTCACTCCAATCATTCTAGCATCAAACATAGATAATACATTCTAGATGGATGAGGATCTAAAACTAAATTATGAAGATATATTTGTGTGAATTGTTTGATAAATTTTATAAAGGTTTTGATAAAACTAGGGTTACCAAAATATTGAGGCAAAGCACTTTTTATGGAGTCTTTTAGTGTATTTTGTTAGAATGGAATGCCTGTGATGAAATTAGTGGAGCAGAGGCTTGGTGTTTCTTTTCAACTAGTTCCATTGATGCTCCAATCTTCATCCATGGAACTCATAACATTGGAAGCAAAAAGAATATGGTGTAAAAGAAGAGAGGATGGTGCGCCACTTCAAGGTAAAGATGAGCAAGAGATGAAAAACTTGTCATAAAAAGGAATTTCTTGATAAAAGTTCATAACGAGAAGTGTCTCCAAATAGAGAACTAAGAGCTTTTGAGAGAGAAATTTGTATTCAATTTCAATAATCTAAAGTGACGTGATGTACATGGAAGAGGCTATATATAGAGTTTGGTAGCTTGTAGTGAAAGTTAAACTAACCATACTTATATGTAACATAGGTTAGGTTAACTTGTACTCAAGACTACCAACTCTAGTTACAATTTGAAATTTGAATTTCCCTCCTAAAAATGCCACTATCCTAAATCTAGAAGAGCTAATAGAAGTATGTCACATGGTAAGGTACAAAAAGTGGTTCATGTCAACATCCTAGGTCTAGAAGAGTCGATGGAAGCTTGTTACATGGCAAGGTGTCAAAAGTGTAATTAGGTGTGACACATGTGCCTTGTTGGAGTTTGAATGATTAAGAGAGCATCTCATCCACCAAGTGGACATCCAACCACATGGACCCCATGTCCAATGATGCTCTCATGGGCCATTCAAGCCTAACAAGAACATATCTCATTTTCTAGTTACAACCCCTCTAAAATACTATTTACACTCCTAAAAATAAAAATTACAAAGAAATAAATTTCTACACTATTTGACCAAATAATACAAGGTCAAAATTAAGAAAATATTTACAAGGAAAAAAACATATACAAATAAGAGAAAGTAGACTACTAAAAGTGATCCAAAACTCAAATAAGAGCTTGGATCTTCTTTCTTTAAGTCTAACCCACTCCTCTTGGCTCCTTTTGATGTTGGCCCCTAAGTGACTAATAGTAAAGAGTAGTACTGTGAGGGAAGAGTGAAAAGAACTCCCCCATTGGGGAGTGAAATGGAACATGAAACTGTAATCTCACAAGCTGTGGGAAGAGCCAAACTCAAGGCTTTGACTTTGTTATCCTAGGCCATCACTTTTCCCCTTCATTTATGTATGGGATATGATTGCACTTATGGCTTCTTTCTGTTCTATTTATGGCTGTTTCATCAGAGTTTCTTGCATTCTTGAGCCTTTTCTCTCTAGTAATATTTTTGTTATTTCTAAAAATACTTGTATGGAGACATATGTCATGTCCATCCTTATGTTCTAAGGATTTGGGACTTTGATTGCATCCCAACAATGTTTATAAGATATTATTCCACAAATTTGAGGACATGAAGTTTCTTTATTAATATTCTATATATTTGATGCAGGCATCCTTCTTCATATCATATGTTGTGACTTCTGGATGGACCACTATAGCATCAGAACTCTTTCAATTGACAAAACTTATTTCCAATTTTATAAGTAGAATTTTTGGTGGAAACAGTGATGATGATTTTGAGCCCCCATCAATTCCCTACCATAGTGAAATTCCCAGGATTCGTCTCTTTGGTCTTCTTGGTGTAACATACTTCATCCTTGCTCCACTGATAATTCCATTTCTCTTGATCTACTTTTGTTTGGGATACATCATTTTCCGCAATCAGGTTTGCAAATTGCTTCTTTCCACTGATAGTGTTCTTTTTTGTAGTATGTCCCTTTGGTTGTTCTCTATCTAGGCCATTGTACAATCGTCTCTCAATGTAAAATACTATGATTGCTTAATTAGATAAATGGTTACTTTACTCTTTTTTGCCATTGCAAAACTGACATAAAATGATATTGTAGAATAGAACAATTTGTTCCTAAAATTTATCTTTTGCAATCATTATTGGTTTACACTTTACAGATTCTATTAAATGATAGTCCAGTGCGGGGAAAATCATTTTATGGAGTGTGCTTTGTGTGTGTGTTAACCAATAATTTCCTTTGCAACTTTCCCAACCCTTACGATCCTCACTCCTGTTTAAAGGGAGAAAAAGAATTTAGTGATCATATTGCCATCTGATGCTTATAGTTTCATCCATAAAATCAAATTAGTTTTATTTTATTTAGTTCTCTCTGATATAACTTTAGAGGTATAAAAGGGTCAGTTGATGGGCATATAATGAAACTTGGAAGCCACCGGACTTCACAGTGTCTTGAATAAATGGTTGATATTATTTCCTCTGTTTTCTTCAAAATTAAAAAATCTTTCAAGAAAACATTTTTTTTATACCTAATTCTTGTGATATATTAAATGTCTTTCGGTGACAGCTGTTGAAAGTTTATGTGGCAAAGTATGAGACTGGAGGACAGTTTTGGCCTACAGTACACAACTCCACAATTTTTTCATTGATACTGATGCATATAATAGCCATTGGTATTTTTGGTTTGAAGAAGCTTCCTCTAGCATCCATATTGACTCTTCCTCTTCCAATTCTAACACTTCTATTCAATGAGTATTGCCAGAAACGGTTCTTCCCTACATTCAAGGATTATCCTGCTGAGGTATGTTAATGGTTGATATAATTAATGCTGATTTATCTGATTCTTCATTATGATGTTGTAACTTATATGCTTTCCAGCTTCCCATAAATTGTTGTGACTTGTGATTATTATGTATTTTCTGGCGTTGTCCCTAAAGAGACATTAAACTTCTATAAATCGTTCATTTTGTATCTTCTACCCTAGCCTAAGGATGCTACCGCATTGGATCAACAATTGGGATTTAGGACTCATGAATAAAAGTTAGTTCTTTTCTTTAGATTCTGAATCAGTTCTATCAAACCCCTGGTTGCTACATAGTAGTTGATTAACAACTAAATTACTGTCATCTAACAATCACAGAATGCAGATGAGTTGGTTCTAGATGTAGAGAATATTGGAAAAATTTAAGATAAAAGGGTTATTAGTTTATTAGTTTTATTGTTAGTAATTTTGGGATTGTACTAGTAGTACTAGACCTTGGCCCAATATTGATTAGCATCTAACTTGTGTAAGCTTTTCAACTGTTGTTACGACTTTTTAAGGCAAGAATGCCAAACTTCGCTAAGTTTATAGGTGTTTATGAGGAATATAAATCAGGAACTTATAAATTGGTGAGATGCATAAGCTGATTTAAACTTATGTGAGAAGTTTGATTTGTTTATTTTCTTCTCCTATAAATGCTTGTTAAGAAATTAATCCTAAACTAGCTCTTAGTTATTTATATAAATTGGATTAAATTATTATGTTATATCACTACCACTTTTGGATCAATGTTTAACATATATTATTAGCTGTTTTTCCCTTTCTTTTCCTTTTTCCCTACCCCTAACCTTGTAACATACTTGTGGTAAAATTATGATATTTTTCCGGAACATTACATACTTGACAACGATCCTGATATGGAATTTGTTTTAAATTTTCTTTAAAAGATATCTTGGTGGTAAGTGAAGAAACTGCTGGCGGTAAAACTTGAGTATGTTGATTCCATTACTATCTGGGAAACGGCTTGGTTTGGTTTCAGTTCTCATTTTAGTTCCAATGGTGTGCATTTGTCTTGTTGATTTGGTTTCATTTAAACTATGCTAACCCTGACAATCTTTTATCAGCGGTTGCACTATACCATGAAAGGCATGCTCATAATTTTTTTTGGCATTTCCTTCTACCTCAAAGTGGCATTTTTGCTACTTATTCTGTTTTTCAATTGAGTTGTTGCCCTTCAATTTTCCCTTTTGTATTCTTATGAATTTATATCTTCCCATATGCAGTGTTTGATCAAGAAGGATAGAGCAGACGAAAACGAGCATAACATGCCTGAATTTTACGACAAGTTGGCCAATGCATACAATGATCCAGCTCTGATGCCAAAGAAATATTCTGAAAGGTCTGATAGTCACAGATCTCCACTTCTTCATAGCTCTGAATAGTTCATAGCTACATTCCTATGGGGTTGGGTGCGACTGTATATAAGGCAATGTGTTTTCACTTTGACTTCCTTCTGGTTTATTTGGTTGTCCTTGGTGTAGCATATCTGTTGTTTTCTTGTAAATTTTTAGAATTGTGAATTTAATCTTATAACAGTGTGGAAACTTGTAACGACTGTGCCAACTTGTAACATCAGTATAAGCAACTTCAAGGCCGTATTTTTGTGAGCACCAGCATGGTAGCATTCGTAGTGAAATGAAATATAGTAACTGCAAAGTGTAAGAAGTGTTAAGCAACATATTTTCTGAGACAATTTTTTCAACACTCTTTATTATTAATTTAAATTTATTGAAAGCTGCACAACCATCGTAGAGACTCATTAAATAAAGTGTAAGACTTACAAATTTTATGATTTTTAATAAATATCAACCAATCAAAAAGAGTGTTAAAAGTGTAATAAGATGGTAGGCTGATAGAAATGTCTTGGCATATGCAATGAGCTTAACTAAATTTTACAGATTCATTGACTATAATGTGAATTGTTCAAGTTTTATAAATATTACTTAGGTTTTTTCTCTAGTTAATGTGGGATATCAACTCTAAGAACTGATATCTCGGTGACTATACGCTATGATGTTTCACTCAACCTTTTTGGAAACACCTTGTAATCCTTTTTAAGACATTGACAAGATAGGCCGCAATTAAGGCGACCTACAGATGACTGCAGTTGAGGAGACTTCCAACAAAAAGGTTAAATGTTCTTTTTGATGGTACGATTAGCCCGCAGAAAATTTTCAAGCTCCAACTTCATCTTCTCATTAGAATTCAATTTGGCTAATTAGCAGTCCACCAAAACATTAGTATTCAATTTGGCTAATTAGCAGTCCACCAAAACATTAGTATTCAATTTGGCTAATTAGCAGTCCACCAAAACATTAGTATTGGGAAAAATTCAAGTCCCATATCAACTAGAGATTAGACAATTAAATAATATATAAGTGTAACAACCCGCCTGGCCGTCATACTGCGGAACAACACCTCACACTACTAGAATATGCATACATAAAAGAATATATACATATATCCAGCCTTGAGGCTCAGCAAGTCAAAGTATATATATTAATATTACTAACAAAATACTACTCCAAGGTGCCTACATAAAAGATCAACTCCAAGAACCACCTGTGGCACTATTGCTACTTTCTAGCCTATCCCTGCTCTGCTCCCATACATAATATGATCATAGCAGTCCAAATCACATGAAAACACGCAAGGATAAGCTAGTGAAAATAATCAACATACATATATAAATAAACAACTTACAACTCATCAACAGAAACATCTTCAATAGTTCAACATACAACACCACAACATATATACAACTCAAATCAACACAAGATCAACACATCAACAACTTATGCGCCGTCACGCATTTCAACTCGGAGATCTCCTATAACATGGGTGAGCAATCTAAGTGGCTAGGCCCTACCGAACCGACAACAAAGAATCTTTTTGGGCTTGTTAGGTAAACAACAAATTTGGATACCAATCCACAACACGATAACGGTTTCTCAGACTTTGCCACTTAAACAAGGAAGTATAGTACTATGTTAGGATAGAACAGTTGGGTTTAGGCCTACCATGGCATTAGCTAGCTCAACTAAGCCACCTATGGGATTAGCCTACCGATTATCCTCCAAATACTACGACCCTCTGATAGTCAGTTAGTAACTAAGTTCTCGACTTCATATTTTAGTCAAATTTGGCCGCTTGTAATCGGTATAGCTCGACCTAGTCCCTATGGTCGCTTCATACACATGTGCCTCGACCTTGCCCACACACGGATCAACTAAGTCCTAGAGGAGAACAACACAATGTCCACTCCAAGGGATAACTTCCCAAGGAGGGTTTTTCAACAAATTGGGCTCTCAGAGCACCACAACTATCTCAATCCACACAATGGGATGAGCAACTTCGAAAATATCTCCTCTAGTCCTAGTGATCAACAACTCATCATCACAACTTAATCAGCTTACAACTCAACAACACAGTTCAGCTCAACGACTTAAACAACATACAACTTTCCAACTCATCATCTCAATCAACTTTCAACTTAAATAAAGTAGTCAACTCACAACATTAACAACACAATTCAATAGCACAACAACTTCTCAACAGTGTTTAACAACATGTTTTAGCAACAAAGCAACTTATCCAAATCATACATACAGTATTTCTACACAAATACACAATTATGATTCAACACACAACTACATCTTCTCATCATACCACAATATTCAACATTTTCTTAATCATAAGACCAAACATTTCATGCTCGACACAAGTAAACTCGCGCCTGGCCTAAACCCAACTCGAGAGCTCTTGAGCTCTTTCACGCCCGGTGTAATATCACTATGCCTGGCGCACTTGTAGGCAGAGACTCCCAGGAATCTCCCATGCCCAGCACGCCCAACTCACGCCCGACGTAAAATCAGGTAGAGACCTCACAAGGGTCTTGTGCCTGGCGCACTCCTCTGAGCCTGGTGTTGCCCCAGGCAGAGACCCCCAAGGAGTCTCTACGCCTGGCGTGCTTAGAGCACGCTCGGCACCATATCAGTAACCAAAATCACAAGGCAAACATCTGATATCACGCCCAGCGTGGTTCTCCCCACGCCCGGTGTGATTCATCCAGAGGCTTCCATTCCTAATCTTGCCCAGCACGACCAACCTCGCGCCCGACGTGATTCGACAATGGAGTTCCTTGATGAACGCACGCTCGACGCTAAGAACTGCGCCTGGCATGAACTCAAACAACAACCCTCACAACTTCAAAAATTTCAACCAAAAACCTGAAAATCAGCCAACTCAAACACATGCAATCCATGAAATGAAATACATTTACTTCATACGACTCAAAAACAAGCTTTATTTCAACATGCAACAATCAAACGCATCAAAATCACCAATTTTCCCAATTTTCCTGAAACCCCGAAAATGAGAAATTCTTCAAATCAATCAACGATTCTCAACATTTTTACTCCAAATGAGTTCTTAAACTCACACACAACCAACGAGTTTACAATCTAGCTTCCCTCACCTCGTAAAAGAAGAATCCGAGCTTTGGGGAAGAGAAAGAAGAAGAGGAAGAAGATTCGTGCTTCTAACTAGCACCTCACGCCTCTACTCAACACCTTCAACAACAACAACACTACAAGGAGGCTCAGAATCTTCTAGAACAAAAGAATAGGAAATGAGAAGAAAAGAGAGTGTTGAGGGGAAGGAGGAAGAAGAAGAGCTTGCGGGTCTTACAATAAGTGGAAAGCAACCCTCACCTTATAATTTGTAGGGTTGAGTTAGGCTCAAATCCACTATTTTGATATGATATCAGAAGACTTTTTCACTTCTACATAATCTGACTCTGATTTTTTTCCTGCGATCACCATGGTTGCTGCCTCCACGATTCAAATTGATCAACATGATCCTCTTTTTATTCACCATTTTGATCATCCAAGGCAAAGCCTCATGTCCACACCTTTGAACGATGACAACTTCAGATCTTGGAGACGTGCGGTTGTTATCGTACTTGAATCCAAGAACAAGATGGGTTTTGCTTATGGTTCAATTCCGAAGCCAACTGATTCAACTAAACTTTCTTTGTGGAAAAGAAATGACAGTATCGTCAGATCTTGGCTCCTCAATTCAGTCAACAAAGATATTGCTACAAGTCTAATTTACTCCTCTACATGATTTAAACTCCAGATACAGAAAACAAAATGGGCCCCAGGTTTTCCAGTTGAAGAAAGAAATTTTTTCTTGCAATCAAGGTTCAATGTTTGTCAGTCAGTATTTTGCCAAGATCAAGAGTCTTTGGGAAGAATTGAGTGATTTTCAACCCCCTAACTCTTGCACATGTGCTGAAGTGAAGCCTTTGCTTGAGTACCTTCATTTTGTGCGTGTGATGTCTTTTTTAATGGGTCTCAATGAAAACTATTCTCATATTAGTGGCCAGATATTACTAATGGATCCTATTCCTTCAATCAGTCGAGTTTTCACTCTTGTGGTTCAAGAAGAAAAAAGACAGGAAGTTGGCATCCCTACACAGCAACCCAACTCTAAACCTTCCCAGTCTAGATCAAACAAAAAGGAACGACCAAAATGCAACTACTATAGAATGCTTGCTCATACAGAAAATAAATGCTATAAAAAGCATGGATACCTTGTAGGTTACAAGAAACCCTATCACAATGTAAATCAAGTCACTGATTCACATGATTCCAACACATGATTCCAACACAGGAGACAGTCCAATGCAGTTGACAAAGACTCAATATGATCAGCTACTAAATCTCCTTCAAAGTCAGGTAACACCTATTGGAAAATCACTGCAGTATAACTCTTCGAGTTCTCCACAAAATGGTAAGTTAAGTTTTTCTTTTTTCAAGAACCTAGCCTTCACTACATATCCACACAAAGGAAATTTCTCAATCTGGACAGTAGACTCTGGGGCTACTACACATATTACATGTTCTATGGATAATTTTATTTGCTATAGCAAATTAGAAAATCAATTTATTTATCTTCCTACTAGAAATGCTGTTGAAGTAAAAGCCATTGGCACTGTTAAATTGAATAACAATTTCATCCTCCACAAGGTCCTGTTTATACCAGAATTTACATTCAATCTCATATCCGTAAGTTCCCTAACTCAGTTTACTAGGAACAAAGTTTTTTTTTATCATTCTTCTTTTGTCATACAGGATCGGCAGGGTTCGAGGGTGATTGGCAAGGGTAACATCTTGGATGGCCTCTACATTCTTAAATGTCCGAACATTAAGCCTTCTAGTTTTGTTTTGCATTCTTCAAATCATACTGTCACAACTGCTAGTAATAACAATGATAGGAGTACTACTGTAAACAAATGGCACTACAGATTAGGCCATTTATTTGATGATGTACTTAGAATAATACATACTAATAAGAGTCTACACATGCCTAGTAAATTTTCATGCAAAAATTGTGATATATGTCCTTTAGCTAAGCAAAAATGCCTCCCTTTCCATAATAAAAGCAACTTGTCTGATGATTTTTTTGACTTTTTTCATTGTGACATTTGGGGACCCTTTCATCAAGCCACCTATGACAATCACAGGTTCTTTCTCACTCTTGTTGATGATCACAACAGATTTACATGGATATTTCTCTTAAAATCTAAAGATCAATCTGCTGT